GTGCAAATATTTTGACAAGTTATCTTTGTTACAAATACAGTCATATCTGAAAACTCTCTAAAATGTGGGCCTAATTAAATATTTTCTTTGGTCTATTTCAAAAAGTGGTTTGTTCTCCTGCATTCAGTCGCTGCCAGAGGTTGGACTGTTACCATGGTGACGACAGCTTCCTGTTCCGGTGGTGTGAGGAGAGCTCGTCTCAAAAGAGGAGGGTGTATAAAGCGCCATCAAGGGGACTCAGTTCAGCMGCGAGGGTYCTTCACAGRGAGTGTAGAGTGTAGGGAGTAGYGSGAGMGWGMAYCCACTGATTGTGAAAGGGCCCCTGAGTCTTATCAGCAAACAAAAACAAGGCCCTCTCAGCAGCCCTGCGTCTGCTCGCACTCAAAAGTTTTCCTCTCTTCTTAAGTTCTATATGTATCCAGAGGAAAAGTTCTGTGTTTGTGTCTCTTTCCTGTTCCCCCAAACCCAGCTGGTTGGGGCAGATGACTGCCTGTCCTGGTTCTGGTCCTGTTGGAGGTTTCTTCCTGTTAAAAGGGAGTTTTTCCTCTCCACTGTCACTAATGTGCTGCTCAGGATGGGAGACTGTGATGAAGTGAAGATTCAACACAATCTGCTGGCTTCTTTAGATTTCAGCTATATTTTTTTTCCTAAATTCACTTTTTTGCACCCTCTTGGTATTTTAAACTTTCTTCTATTTTTTTAAATGACCTTTTTTGCTAGTATTTAGTCGTTTTTGCTAATCTTAGCTACTTGTCTGCTTTGTTCAGCTTTTTTTTTGACAGTTTTGCTATTTTTTAACTTATTTTTAACCTTTGTTTACCTACTTTCAGCAAAAGCCAGCTGTTCAAATTTAACTCACACCGAGTTTCACCATTAAACACTTTTAGTTTACTCAGCAATTTTCAGAAAAAATCTTTCAACCACACACTTTCACACTGTATTTATGCAGGAAATGCAAATTCTTTTGTGTGACACTGTTGTTTAACAAACAACCAAGACTCAAAATTATTGTAGGATGTGACTAATACTAAAAATAAAAGATAAATATTTAAGACATACTGAGCATAATCTTTAAGAACAGTTGTGAGGGTGTAGTGCGGCACATCTAATTTACTACATCCACAGAAGGAAGGAGAATGCTGACAAGGACCAGCTGTATCAAGATGTACTTATGCTATCAGTAATTAAAATGCTGTTGGAGTAACATCAGCACTTTGTCCACAACTAAATGCTGATGAAGCTCAGATGATTCTTATCATCTTCATTTTTTACATTCTTAAGACCTGATAATATACTGGCTGATGTATTATCTTTCAAGCTAAGTCTAATATGTATACATCTTTTTTAAAATTTTTGCAAGACCTGTAGTGCATTCAGATAAGAAGTACTCCTGCTTATTATTGACACAAATATTCAACACACTGAAAGTTTGAGGATATATATAAATATATTTAAAAATGCCTCTTTCTACAAGTAAAAGCCCTGAAGCAAAATAATAAAACAAATTTACATAAAATATTAACTTCAAATTGTTTCCATCATGCATCTGTTGCTACACTGAGAGGAAAAGAAAAAGACAAACAACATAAAACAACAAAACACAGGGAGAAACAAAGTAAAGGTGAGAACGCATCTGATCCTCTTCTTTCTCAGAAACTTTCAAATCTTCATCAAAAGCTAGTGGGAACAGTAAAACCCCTTTCTTCACCTACTCTGAGCATCTGAGGCAGAGAGGCACTGCAGTGTTTAAAGACTTCTGAGGTGTGAAGTTTCAGCTTAGGCTAGATTTGCTTTAAATGCCCAGGGTCAAAACAGTGGGATTCAAAACTCAAACTAGGTCATAGCAGCCTAATTACCATTAAAACTCTTATAAAGACATTAAGTATTCCAAACACAAAAAATAAGATGTTTACAGCAACCTGTTTCTGATTTAGCTCTATGGAGTGCAGTACAAATTGAATTAAAACTGCAAGAATTGATGGCACCCTGGAGATATCCCTATGTGTGCATCCAGCAAGCAGGCGCCGGTCTGTCTGTCAGGTACAGCCAAATACAACAGTACAAAAAGGATAGTTATGCACCAACCAGGACATGTCCAACATTGTTAAGCTGCCCTGCCATGCTCTTTGTTTGCTGCAATCACCCACCCTGTGCCATRAACTATGAAGAAGCTTGTGCCCAAATTTAAAGTCAATACGCTCCAAAGGAAGACAATAGTTTGGTATGACAAGTGAAAACTACCTTTTTGTTTCTGTAGGTTTTCCATTTTGATGTCAAGAGACATTTTGTAGGACATGAACCAATGCACAGATGCACCAAAACAGGGAAACATGGAAATATCCCAAACCTTTAGAAAACTGTTGCTGCCAACAAATTTAAAATTACCTATTTCTTTCCTACAAATTGTACAATTTCTTAGTTTCAACTTTAGACATGTTTACTATGTTCTACTGTGACCACGACCTGACTGATAAGTGGAAGATAATGGATGGATCGATGGATGTTACTGTGAAAAGTAGATACTGTAGGTTTATCAGATTTGAAAAACGTTGCATTCTGTTTTAGTTCACACTTTACAAAAATAGTTTATTTTATTAAATTAACAAATAAGTTGATATGGTACATAATAGGCTCTTAGTTGAGAACAGACTTGTCATATTACAACATGTAGCATGAGGGGCGGGGTTACTGGAGGAATGAATTCCATATTTCCCAGACAGAAAATTGGATGGATAGTGTTTGTTATCAATAACTGATAAAACAGAGCTCTCAAGTTTTGATCTGAGCTTAGAGTGAGATTTCAAGTGGCTGAACACTGTTGCTGACTACTCAGTAAGAAAAGTTACTAAATGATGTCATCACATAATTTATATATTTGGACATTTGCCAWTGATTGTGATCTAGGCTGAAATTAATGTTGAAGAAAAAAGTATATAAAATCACTAAATATTTTAAAAACTACAAATAAACTTGCAAACAACAAAATAGAGTTCAAAATAAGTTAAAACATTTACAAACAAATGTCTCATGCACAAACTGTTTAAGAATGGACCTAAAACCATTAAGAGACCAACGCCTTCAGCAAAGTGGAAGGAACTTTTTCCGTAATCAGTGCGAACCTTAGGTATAGTTAAAACAAACTCATGCGAGCACAGAAAATGACCTCTTGGAGTTTTCTTAATGATATAGGACAASAGCAGTAAACCCAAGATTGCTTTGTAAACTAGATTATGCCAATGAACGAATCTGTGGGCAAATAAGACAGTCCATCCAACACTGTCATATGTACAATGGTGGGTAAGGGCTCTGAGACCAGTGATAAAGTGCAAGGCTCCATGATACACAGAGTCCAACAAAAGCAACCAGTGAGAAGATGCATGCATATAAATCACATCTCTGTAGTCTAAGATGGGCAAAAACCAGGCAGCAATAAGACTTTTTCTAGTCTCAAAAGATAGACGAACTCTAATTCCAAAATAAAACCCCAACTTTATCTTCAACCTTTTTACCAGATGTTGAATGTGGGGAACAAAAGTCAGAGATTCATCAATAATAAAARCMAAGTATTTATACTGAGATATTAATGCAGTTTGAGAGCCTRGAAATGTGCTGATGGGCGGAAACAMCWGTGGTTTATACTTTGGTTTAGTGTTAGAAAACGGCATTACTATTACTTTAGATTTCTCAGAATTCAAAACAAGTTTTAGGTCACATAAATTTGACTGAACCACATCAAAAGCAGCTTGTAGTTTTTCAAAAGAACTTTGTAATGAGTGAGCTGCTCAATACAACACTGTCATTTGCACAAAAAGGAAAATGAGRATGTGGCACATTGTTATCTAAATTGTAAATATAGATCATAAAAAGAAGTGGACCTAGGATAGAGCCTTGAGGAACACTATTGAATATTTGAAGACAAAAGGAGGAAAGACCTTCCACCTGCAKACATTGTGATCTGTTGGACAAGTAGTTCATAAATTATTTGACTGCTTGCTGAGAGAGTCCGACGTCAGAGAGTCTTCTCAACAATATTTTATGATCAACTACGTCAAAGGCTTTTGACAAATCAAGAAATAGGGATGCACAATGTTGCTTTTTAACTAAAAAAACGAACATCTTTTGATACTTATAAAGTTGCTGTAGTGGAACTGTGCAATGCTCTAAAAAGAGTCGAAGTACAAAAGCAGACTTCCAAACCAACAGAATCTGACCTGAAATAAGGGGGAGATTAAAAATATGTCAAAGGGGATGAAATAAAATCAACAGCTTGTTTTAAGAAAAAATCATTCAGTTGATCTGGATCTGCTGACTTTTTTAGAGTCTAAACCTTTGATTGCATTATGTACTTCTTTAGTGAGTCAAACGCAGCCATGTCTGGAGACACATTTTAGTGTGACACAGTGTCAGAGAAAAAACAGTAAAAATTACATCCCGCTTTGGGAGCAGATTTGATCCTGATTCATTTGCAGTGATCTCCTGATGCATGAGGCTACAGTAGTTGTAGACTGGTAGTAGCTGAGAGTACTTACTCCAAGTGCTAACATCATGTGAGGTCTTTGTTTTAAATCTGAACATGCAAACCCACTTTAAAGTAGCCTGGTTATTTCTATATTAAACAGATCCCTTGAGTCACGTGCGTGTGATGTTTCACGCACGGTGCATCCTCGTGAGAACAGAGGGCATCCTGGTTTAAACGATGACAAAAGCATCATCCGTGTGCGCAGCAGGTGGAAATGATCTGTCTGCTGGAGTTGTCTCGCACTGCGACAGTTTTTTTGTGCCTTTTTTGAGAAATTCAAAAAGTGGCATGAGTAAATCATGAAATGTGTGTGTCTCATGGTCAGTGCGTGGGATTTGAAAGCCCTGGATAAAGCTACAGATGTTATAGATTACTATTATCTCATGTTTGATGAATTTCACTTTAAGGATCCTTAAGTGGATGTATTTTAGACGATGCCTTTAGAGGTCAAATACTTACATTTACTGATAAATCTCTCTTATTTCCTGTTAAACTGATGAGTGTTTCACCCCAACATTCCCCTCCAAAGCTTGGGTACTGACTCATAAACTATGTATGCCTCCTCCTTATCTGCCTGGAGCCTGCTTGTACTGCTCTACTGAATAGTTCATCACTTCAGTTGCTGTTGTATTCCAGCCATCTATTTTCCAGCCTTTAAAAACAGACTTGGTGAATTGCTGCAAAARGCTACCTTTGCCCAAGGACACAGTGTGACAATGCGATTAGGAAGCTGTGCCTGGGAGCTAAGTGAGTTACAGTAAATATGTTGCATGATACTGTGTGTGCATGCATGTGCATACCCCGTGGCCGTGACAGTTTGCGATGCAAGTCTCCAGCTCAGTAAAAGAGGCACTTTGGCATCTGCGGTCTCTGCACACCTGGAAGAACACAAGCAGAAAGATCACACGCTGTGGCCCAGGTACACACACTTTGATCAGATCTGCTGGAGCTGCAGCCCTTTGAGTTCTGGAGAAACTCTGGTGCCTGAGGAGAACATCAGCATCTTCATTACATCACTACTTTCACAGACTTACTTTTACAACTCACTGAATATTGATGTTGATTAGGCTTTTGTTGCTATTTAAATGAAATAATGAAAACCAAATTAATTATGTTTAATGTCCTATGGTAGAGGTGAAGGCAGTCTGTAATATTTATGCCAGAATGTGTTTTTATTTGTGGGCCTGTCTGTTAACAAAATATCTCACGAACCACTGGATGAATTTTAATAAAACCTGAAGAAGACATTCATTGGATGTACATTTACAACTTTTCGAGTCCTACCCAAGCCAACACTAAACATTAAGAAACACTAAAGGTTGTACAGAGTCAATGTTACAGATACTGTAAACACATGTAGTATGTGTGTTAGTAAAAAAAACTATTCAAGATCTTTTCAAAAAATGTTGCCATCAAATATTTGGAAACAAAATCGTCTTATCAAAAGCACCAAAGTTTATTTACACTACAAAGAAATATCATTGAATAACTTTTGGAGTCAAACTGAACTAAAGGTAGCTGTCAAAGCTAACTCACATTAGAGAAGATAAAAATGAAAATAATTCAGTCAGTTTRACAGATACGGATCTAAAKCWTAGTGTGGTAGTAGCTGAGCATAATCACTAACACATACTTTTGCATTAAATGTTGGCATCAACTCTACTTGTCTGTTAACAAAAAAACTCATGAACTGCTAGAGTGAGTTTAATAAAACATTCATAAAGTAATCATTAGATGTACATTTAACTTATTCATATTCAAGGTTACATATTATATTTGTGTCAGGTTCAGAATCCATCCATC